TATATATATATATATATATATATATATATATATATATATATATATATATATTTTAAGATGTTATAAAATGTGTGTTTTGGAGGAAAGCAAAAATGACACGTCTGTCGTTCCCCTCTGCGGGACCCAAAGCATCTGTTCCATCCCACAACCGAGAGCTTAAGAGTAACGCGCTCCCGCGCCTCCGGCTTCCGGAGCTCGACTTCTTCGTCGTGTCTCAAAGCTCAGCCATGGCGTCCCTAGCGAAGGCTCCCCTCCTCGAGAACCGGCCGGGAACCGACGAGCAGCCCGAGGCGGCTTATGATTCCGACGAGAAGGTGGTCATCTCCGTCTCCGACGATGAAGGCCCGTCGGCGGCTGCGGAGACGGAGGAAGTTGACGGCTCCCTCCCGCCCTTCTCGTGGCGGAAGCTTTGGCGGTTCACCGGCCCGGGTTTCCTGATGTCCATCGCTTTCCTGGACCCCGGGAACCTCGAGGGCGATCTCCAGGCCGGCGCGGCCGCGGGGTACGCACTCCTCTGGTTGCTCCTCTGGTCCACCGCCATGGGGCTCCTCATCCAGATACTCTCCGCGAGGCTCGGCGTGGCGACGGGGCGCCACCTGGCGGAGCTCTGCGGCGACGAGTACCCGCGGTGGGCCACCGTCGCGCTCTGGCTCATGGCCGAGCTCGCCCTCATCGGGGCCGACATCCAGGAGGTGGTCGGGAGCGCCATCGCAATCAAAATCCTCAGCGGCGGGGTCATCCCCCTCTGGGCCGGGGTGGTCATCACGGCTTTGGACTGGTAAGCATCGATCTTCTGGGGTGGGTGTCCTCAATCCAAGAAACGGTTCTTTATGTTTGAATTCAGCTCTTGATTCTGTATTTTCCATTTTTATTATTTTGTTTCTTCAGGGAATCTTTTTCCTTTTGTTCTGGTTAAAAAGGAAAGAACTTTGTCGATTGTGAGCACTTGGATGTTTCTCTTAATAGTACTATCATCAAGAACTTCTGTTTGATGTCCACTATCTTCCATCTGATTGGCAGCCTCGTCTTCTTGTTTCTTGAGGACTATGGTGTGAGGAAATTAGAAGCTTTCTTTGGGGTTCTTATTGCAACAATGGCGGTCTCATTTGCTGTAATGTTTGGTGAAACCAAGCCTAGCTTCAAGGGACTGCTGATCGGTAATTATTCCGCGAGCATTTTTCTTTAACGGGTTTTGTTCTTTGGTAAAGTTTTCTTTAGATTCTTGTACAAATAGTACTGATATACACTGATCTTCACAGGTGCTGTTGTTCCAAAACTAAGTTCGAGTACAATAAGACAGGCAGTGGGGATCGTTGGCTGCATTATTATGCCCCACAACCTGTTCTTGCATTCTGCTCTTGTGCAGTCAAGAAAAATCGACAATTACAAGAAAAGCCATGTTAGAGAAGCAATGAAGTACTATTCCATAGAATCCACTGTGGCTCTTGCGGTTTCCTTCTTTATCAATGTTTGCGTCACTACAATTTTTGCAAAGGGATTCTATGGTACAGAAGCAGCCAGTTCTATAGGGCTTGAGAACGCTGGCCACTTCTTACAAGAGAGATATGGAGGTGCATTTCCCATTCTGTATGTATGGGGTATTGGACTATTGGCCTCTGGACAGAGTAGCACAATTACTGGCACTTATGCTGGGCAATTCATCATGGGAGGCTTTTTGAATCTTCGACTGAAGAAGTGGGTCCGATCTGTGATCACAAGAAGCTTTGCAATTTTGCCAGCTATGGTGGTTGCTCTTTTGTTTGATACCAAGGGCTCAGCCATGGATATTCTGAATGAGTCACTCAATGTGCTTCAATCCATTCAGATACCATTTGCTCTTATCCCACTGCTTACTTTGGTCTCAAAGGAACAGGTTATGGGAATTTTTAGGATTGGCACTATTACAAAGGTGAGTTCTTGACGAAGTCAAATGTCGGATTCATTTCGTGACATCATTTACTGCACCATTTAATTCTTGTATTATCATTTGAGGTTATTTGATTTCTCTAACATATTTATTTCTTTTGTTCCATCTGTTTTATTTCCTCTCACCACACTACACACACTCTTAGAAGAATGTTCTGCATTTATGTAGTTTATAATAGATTTGATATAACGATGCCAATGACACCATTATTTGATTTTTACCTCTCTAACATTTATTTTGTTGCACCTACTTTGTTTCCTCTTACTATACCACACACACACACACACACACACACTTTTGGAAGAACCTGTCCCAAGTAGTTTAAGATTTGATTCAGTGACCTCATTGTTTGATAATTGAAGTATAAGCTGTCCCGCAATAGGCAAAAGGAGTGAGAACACAGAAGAATGATATTTGGTTGCATACATATACCTGGTAATCTGCTGAGCAGGGATTTTAGTTGTCAACTAAAACATGTGGAAAGGTTTCTGTTGTCCTTGTGTAGGTATCTCGAATTATAGATTAGTTATTTGACCAAAGTAAATCTGTGTATAGGTTAAGGAAGTGCGAAGCTGTGTGAAAATTAGATTCCATAAAACATGGATAATTCAAATTGCTTGTCGTATATGTATCTTGTGTGGCAAATACGATACGATTAGGATTCTTCTTGGGCATGTGTCAGATGCTTCTTCAAAGGATTCAGATTTTTAACAATCCGATACTTGAGAACTATTTTCTATTAAACAGTAACCTTCTAATTATAGACAAGATGAATATATCTGCTTGCTCTGTGAGTTCTTTTGGGATAATCAGTAATAAATATAGAAAAGCATTTTTTGAGAAAATAAATATGATAAATTTTGAATGACTAGGGGCAGGAATATTTGAATTCTGTTTTATGTTTAAACTGGAAGATAGTTTTAGCTTGATGATAGAGTACAAAACATGAGGAGGCTTTGGTAATTAGAGAAGTCAAAAGATCACAGAAGCTTAGGCCTCATGACAGGAATCATCTTAAGATGTTTGGTCAAAGGTTATTGGTGATATTATGGATCCCAGTGGTCATCTTCATTTTCATTTCCCGCTAGGGATCATTAACTTCTGATCTTTAACGATGCACTTGTCTCTGTTGTTTGGTTCTTCCTGCATAGCTATTCTTGTAATGTTCTGTTTCTTCGGGATAGAAAGATTAGCTTAGTTGAAAACAAGTTCCGCATGCTGTCTTACACTACCAGGTTTTCTGATGCAGGTGGTAACCTGGATCGTGGCAGGTTTTCTAATAGTCATCAATGGTTACCTTTTGCTTGATTTCTTCTCTGCTGAAGTACATGGCGTGCTCTTTAATTCTCTTCTTTCTCTCATCTTATCACTATATGTTATGTTCATCGTTTATCTTGTCTTGTGGGGTAGCACTTTGTATGCTTGGGTTACTATAGCAATCAGGAAGAGTTTCCGCAGTGGCAACTGACAGCACGGTTATTACAATTTGCAAGGAAGTCACTGAATACATGCCTCAGGAAAACTGCAAGACTGTGTGGAGCTTTCACATCAGTTTGGTGTCTTCTTGTTATCCAAACTGTTTCCATTCTGCAACTTAATAATGGTGCACCCTATTGCTTTCCATACCACAACTCTAGCAATTAAGAAGCTGATGCTGCTTACAGGGATGGATGTGTATTGCTCTTCCTCCCACAGCTGTTGCGTTGTAGGTTTTCTGCTATTTTCCAGAGGTGTCATCAGACAGTATTGACTCCACCACTATCATATAAACTCTTAGATCAACCAAGAAAAATTGTCTGATGTACATAATGGAAAACATATGGAAAACATTGTTTATAAATTTGTATGGTGAAATATACCATGATGATATACTTCCAATTTCAGTACAGTCCACATTATGCTGCGCATGTTACCTGGTGTATGATTTCTGTATAGTTTCTACCTGACTTGATGAATGTTATGTTCCATTTCAAATCTAAAAAGACACCACTATGGAAAAAGTAAAACATATTTTGGCATGCTTCTGAGCTTATTCTCTTGAACTTTTTGGACTGAATCTGATTTCTTACAGCACCTGAGCAGAGTAGTCACTTGTGTCATTCTAAACTTAAGGTCCAAAAAGTTTGCAGTGGCATGGAATAGACAAGAAGAATGTTTAAGCAGCTTGAGTGGTGAATTGAAGTTACTTTATGATGGTTCAAAATGATAATGGCCCAAAGTGTATCAAAGAATATAAGCTCCAAGAAGAAGAGGACACTCTCGATCCTCTCCAGAAACGACTTGCTCAACTTGAACTGAGCAAGTTATGCTGCAAAGTTCCAATCTAACTGGCAATGCATCCCTACAGCCTTTTTGATCATAGGGACCATATTGTGGTGCCATCTATACTTGCTGCATATGGGCAAGAAGCAGATGCTGAGAGCGGCACATCACTATCAAGATGACAGAGCCCCTTCTGTAGCATATGTGAGATACGGTAAAGCCACATTCCATCATGGTCCTGCAGCTGTTCTAATTGTATGAACACTGGACTGCCATCTGCTTCATCAGCCTCTGAGAACTATTCTGGCAACAAGTTCCAGTCTTTACACCAATCAGGTATGTAAATGAGATCAGCAGAAGCTTGGATGCACTTTGCTGCTAAGTTAGAATTTGATGGTAGGCAATGAAGATTTGGCAGCAAGCGTGTGATTTAAAGTGTGTGATCTTGAATTCTTCCTTGAATCTTATGATTTCTCTGTTACTCTGCTCTTGATCTAACCTCAGGTTTGGTGATCAATCTTCTTGTTCTTAGTTTTCCTGGATTGCAAATGACTTTATTCCAGACAAAGGATGACATCTTCTCGTACCAGTAAATTCCCCACGAAAAAAAGAGAAGAGTACAATGAGTTGAGTGCTTTCGCTAAGAGAGACCAGTCATGGGCACTTGGACTTCTTCTTGTCGTCCTTGGTGACCTTATCCCTGTAGCAAGGGCACTCATCCTTGTTCCCGTAAGTCCCAGAAGGCACACACTTGCACTCCTCGCAGCACATTCCGCAGTAGTACAGGCACCGGTCCATCACTCCGGCCTTGGCGCACCTCACCTTGCACTTGGATTTGCAATAGGCTGACACAGAAAAACGACACCCAAGAAACAACACGCGTCAATGCCATCTTGATGACACATTACGAGGATCTTGCCATGGCGACGGGTACAAGTGTTTACCTGAGTCTGCAGCCATGGAACCACGGAGGTAGGAGGAAGTCAAAACGAGCAGCAGGAGGAGGGTGGCGGCAGAGAAGAGCTTCATCTTCAAGCGAGATAGTAAGAAAGGTCGGAGGGGAAAACAGAGAGAGAAGCGTGGATGGGGTGTCAGCGTGGAGAGGCGTAGCGTGCGTTTATAGGGTGACAAAGGAGGGTGGGAGTCGGTGGACGGACTTTATGGGCTGGCAGGCGTCCAAATAACAGGACAAAGCTAAGTGGTGTGAGCATCCCCAGCATGCATGCTTGGGGAATCAAAACGCGCAGGATTGGTGGCAACTCGTGTTCTTTAATCGGAGCGAAGTTACCAGGAATCAGCACCGTGCAAGCTAATGGCATTTTGTACGGACTCGGGATGTATCCCGAGCTTGAGAGAAGATGCATCACGTGATCGTGCAGAGAGCATGCCGCATGTTATTTCTGTAGTCCAGCAGCGAGTTTTAGGGCAGGAGAACAGACCAGAAGCGATTATTGTAGAGGGGGAAGAAGACAACAGATTAGCTTCAAGCAGCGGAAACGAAGTCGATACTGCCATGAACACAGAGAGATTAGCTTCAAGAAGCAGAGGATCATCGTTCTCTTATTCTCACAACGAGTGACCAAATTTTACTAGGCGATATCAGCCGTCCGATCAAGAAAGGACAGTCGAGATTGATGAGTTGAGCAACGGACGGTGGATAGGTTGCTCCCGCGTTGGGGCCGGTCGAGATTAAGGTTCTTAGTGGTGCTACAAAAGCTTAGCGCTGCTCCTCGCCGGCCGAGCGGCGAGGGATTATGGATTCGTGCGATCGAACTTGAGAGGGGCGAGCACGGAGAGATGGGGCACTCGAACGTGTGGAACTCGCATCCCAAGAATTACGGCCCTGGGTCTCGGTGTTGGTGAGCGATTTTGCCTATTTCTGCTTTTATTCTTCTCTTCGAGTTTGGTGCTCTTTTCTTGTTAGTTTTGTACTTCTTGTTAAGGGTTCTTGAGATATTGTTAAAATATTCTGAGCTTGAAGCCCTTGCAACTTGAATTCGTATGATGTAGTTGCTTTAACCGATTTAATCATAGATGAGAACTTTCGAAGGATATGCACTTCAAATTTGGTCTCCTGGACTTGTTAAGGGTTCTTGAGATTTTGTGGAAACATTTCGAGCTTTAAGCCTTTGCATTTTGAATCCATATATAGTTGCTTTAGCTGGTTTAGTCAAAGATGAGATCTTTGGAACAACCCTACATTGATCTTTTCCGCCATCGATGTTGAGGGCAATACAATAGCAGTATTTTCTTTTATTTCGACTCCTAACTGACACATTAACTTTGTTGAACCCAAGTTAAGTAATATATCATCAAGCCCGTATAACCCAATTCCGTTCTTCTTCCGCTTCCAATGTGGAAGTTAACTAGGGGTGTTCCAATAAACATTCTTATTTCATTTTTTCTTCTATGTACTATGGACTTGCATTTGACTAATTAGGATCCGTTTGACCTTGTAAATGACAGATGATGGTCCATATGCGGGGTTTCAATTTTTAGATGCAAACCCCTTGTGCATCATAGCGTTTACGTTTTTTCATTGTAAACCCCTTATAATTTTAAATTCTGAATAATTTCGAAAATAATTAGGATCAGGGAACATTCCATCCCAACTGAAATATTTTATCAGTTTTTGATTTGATTTAGATGATTAGATTACCCCAGAGGAGATTTAAACTTAATCCTAATTTTTTTAAAATTAGGAAATAAATAAGATTTGATTGATTAAGAATAATTTCAAAATTATGTACAAAGTCCTCCCTGTTCATCACCGATCTGAGCATAGAGTTGTGAGGTGATTGTTGGAGAGGTAGGCTCTCCGACTCTCTCCATTTTATTATCATGTAAATTCGTATTTTCATAGTTAAAAACTTACATAATCTGATTTGGAAATTTAGGGATTTTTTATATTTTTAAAATGATTAATTATTGTGTTTAGATTAACTACCTGAAAATCCTGATTAATTGTTGTAAGAATTCTCGATTCTAATGATTATTTAATTTCATTCTGTCCTCCTTATTTTGTAAATATTTCATAGCTTTAAATTTGAAATTTTCATAAATTATAAAAAACTTTACACGAATTTATTGATTTATTACACTTCTTATAAATTTTTCAAAATTACAGAATTAACATAGTAGAATTCTAATCATGTAATACAATTTATCTAAAACAAAAACATGATAAAATAGGATTTTGAAGCTATTTTTATGAATTAAAAGTGTAATCAATCAATATATTTACGTAAAAATTCTTATAATTCATAAAAAATCAGATTAAAAGCTTTGAAATATTTACAAAATAGGAAAAACAGAATGAAATTAAATAATCTTTAGAATCAAAATTTCTAGTAATAGTTAATCATGATTTTCATGTGGTTAATCTAAATACAATAATTAATATGTAGATTATAGAAAAAAAAATTAAAATTTAAAATCAAATCTTGTCGGTTTTTAACTATGAAAATACTAATTTATATGATAATAAAATGGGAAGAGTCAGAGAACGTGCCTTTCCGACGATCTTTTCGTGCCTCTTTGTATGGATTGGGGCCTCACTCAATTGTGATGAATAGAGAGGGCACTGCTCATCTTTCTATAGAAGAGGGGGAGGGGTTTCAATAAATTTAAGACTCTAATAATGATAATTTAAAAATTAATCTTAATTAATCAAATCTTATCTATTTCCTAATTTAGAAGATTGAGTTTAGGTTTAAATATCCTTCAAAATAATCTAATCATCCAAATCAAATAAAAAAGGATAAAATATTCTAATTGGGATGAATATTTTTTATCCTAATTGTCTTTGGAATTGTTTTGAATTAAAATTTTTTTGGGGTTTACATTCTTCCCCTTAAGAGAAATTTGGTCCCAAATTTAATCATACCTTAGTGAAACATAGTTGGGTGTTGGTCCTTGATGTCATCTTATCTCTCCTAAGCGGCTTCGTGGTCGAAGTGGTGCTATCATTTGACCTTCACGAGGGGGTATAACCTTATTTCTATAGATGTGCTCTTTCCTTTCTAATATCTGGATTGATTTCTCCGAAGTAACAGCATTTTTCAGACCCAAATGTTGATATGAAATGACATGAGATGGTCCTGACATACCTCTGGAGCATGGAAACATGGAACACATCATGTATATCACTAGATGTAGGAGAAAAAGGGTGGATTCCAATAAGCTCTCTTATTTCATTTTTTTGTATGTACTGTGGACTTGCATTAGATTGATTAGTCTCCATTTAACCTTGTAAATGATGGATGGGGTACAATTTTGAGATACAAACCCCTTATGCATGATAGTGGTTACGTTTTTGCAGTGTTCTTCATTTGATGCTATCTAGTTGTGGTTTTCCTTCCATCTAGCGGAATTTGTGGGAATCCTCATGGACCGATAAGGAAGCATGGACTTATGTGTTGCAGACAGTGCTTCTGCAGTAATGCCAAAGAAATTGGATTCATTAAGGTAAATTTATACTATCTCTCCTACATCTAGTGGTATCTCGACCATATAACTAGTTATCGTGCTTCTAAATTGTCTTTTGTCCTTTTTGAATTTTTTTGTTTCCTTGGTGAATAGAAGACCCTTTCCTCAATGTATGGTTTATTAGAGGAAGATATTTTTTTAGTTGGTGGAATTAGGTTTACTTATACATATATATATATATATATATATATATATTGGAACAAAATATTGTTTGATCGTTTCAAATAAACATGTAATCATAGAGATATCTCAGTTTTGATCTACTTACGCAACCATCAGAAGATACCCCACAAGTTGATTTGAAGTTCATTTCTTTAGGGTATGCTAACTTTAAAGATTTATTAATTGGGTTGTATATGTTGACAATGAAATGAGTGGTTTTTTTAGATCTTTCATCACATCAAAAAGCTGTAAAATGGAATTAATATGTTTTGATAATACAGCATTATAAGATTATGATCTGTTTATTTGAGGCTGTGCTCCTTTTAATCATCATGTTTGGTTCTTCATGTTCATGTGTTGCATAGGTTAATGACAAACATCTTCAGTTTTGTATAAATGGGCCGTATTCCAAAAAAGTGCTCCTTGTGGAGCTCTCGCCAATTGACGTATCCATATACTGATGATTTTTCTACAACATGAGAACCAAATATATCTCACTCATTCCGGGTTTGAGAATTGTGCAGATGACAAGATTAGTGGAAAAGAAAGTCATATTCATTGCCAACCATGCTTTTACTTTGGCTTTCATTGTTTACCTGAAATTGAAGTTTGTGATGTCATGTTCAAAGTATTCTAGTCCTACAATTCCAATTTTGAAGTTTCACTAATTAAAGTTTGAATATGCATTTTTGGCCTTTTCAGTGGATCCTGATTTGCTTGTCTTTCATATCTACAATTGCTGATTTTTTTCACTTTCTTTTGGTTAATGGAGGATTTTTTTGGCATAAACCTTCCTTTTAACTTCTTTTGTTTTTAGATTGTGCAGTACCACTGAAGGTGTTTGTTTTCATTGAGATTGAGCCTCTGGAATGGTGCTCTTCTATGCATCAGAAGTAGCACTTATCTTTACCAAACTCTAGATATGTGATCTGCTGGAATTTGTTCATCTATTGAACTTCAATTTAGTTAAACAATGCACTAAGCCGAATTTCATGCAATTATTTTGGTTGTCAATGTGCTATTTTGCCACTTTTTTTTTTGTTTCTTGTCATACATGAAGTGCAGAAATTGGTTCATATGTTTCAATTGTTGTGATTGTAGCATTGACTAGTCCATCGCAGATCGGGCAAATTCATAATTGTGTACAAAAGACCTTGAGCATGCTTATTTTCTATTAAAATTGTTTTTCATCCACATTCATGCCATCAACAGTAGCAGCATGTCTCAGAGCAGGTTCCAAGGTGTACTGTATTTTCGTGTCGGCCATCGGTCACCAGTGGCTGTTCATGTGAACAAAATGTTAGCTACTGGAATTTTTGGATGCAGTCATTTTGGTCTGATAACACATTCATCATTGACTTTGTTGCATGATGGTGATTCAAAATATCATGAAGGTATTTGAACTATGGTTTAGACTGTTACATGATAATTTTCTGTTCATCAATCCATAGTGTTCAAAACACTAAAATGTATGGCTTGATGTGGTTTAAGATGAATGAAGTCCAGAAAGTATGTTTGCACTCTCAGTCTGATGGTTTTGCCTTGTCCTTGGTCTTTAACTAGAACTGAAAGAAGTAGAACATAATAAATGTAAATTCTCACTATATATATACACATAATGCTTGTTGGACTCAATGCTCATTTTTTGCTTTGGATTTGGTTTACAGCTTCATCCACCTGGAACAGTATGTGCATCAGACTCATCAAGTCATTATTGGCATTCTTGTCCAAGCCTCGGATGTGATGGTTTGCGTCACAACTTATTTTTTTACCAATTCAGCTTCATCCATCTGCCCAATGAATGATTGATTAGAGTATTGATTCTTGATAATTTGATATTTGATGATATTCTGTATATGTTTTAAATGAGTTTACAAAGTTGCACTGGACGATATGACATGTTATATAAGATGATATGAGCAGAAGAGGACTATTCTTGACCTTACCAAGGGCACTAAAAGATTAATATATTGGTAGGTGATTTCCTTTGCAAATGATTATAAGTTATGGTAATTAGATTTTTTTTTTTTCGTTTGTTTGTTGTTGAGAGGAATATGTTTTTTTCATATTAATGAGTAATGTATGGATATTATATTTCCTTTGTGAATATAGGGATTACAAAATGTGATAATTAAATATTGTTAGAAACATGTTTTCATATTAATAAGAGATATTACACTACTCCAGTGTCTTCATTTATTGAAAATGTAGAGATATTATATTTCCTTTGCGGATGTAAGGATTGTAAAATATGATAATTAGGTGATTCCTTCATATATCGTAGAGAAGAACATATTTTTATGTTAACGGTGTGAGGGATGCGACACTATCGAGTGTCCTCATTTGTTAAAAGTGTGATATAGGTTTTTGGCTGAAGGGGGAATATAGAAGAACATAGCGAGATAATAATAATAATAATAAAGTCTATTATTTTAATCTTGAAATTAATTTTTTTATTGATTAAATCAGCCTTAGATATCATATTTCTTAAATATAAATAATTCAATTGAGAGAGAGGAGAGGGGGAGCCAAAAGAGAGACTCAGAACTGATACTAATCTTGGCAAATTAATCACTGGTTATTGGGAACAAATGCTAATCTAAGCAATATTAAATCAGCACTCACAGATGCTTTCTTCTCATGCAAGTTCTCTCAGCAGGGCACCCAAGCTGCGGCAAACACCACATCGTGCCCCTTCCAAGTGAGCACCAACTCCTCCTCCTCCTTCTTCAACCCCCAGCCGGCTGCGTGCTCGTCGAGCATGCTCTTTACCTCCACGGCCACCTCCTCCGTGAACCCCGCCGACCGGAACCCCGCCGCCCTCATCCTTTGCGCCCACCTCCCCTTCGGCTCCACCCGTTCCACTCTCTGCAGCCCCTCCTGCGCGATCACGTTACCGATCTTCCAGCGCACCCCGGCCTCGTACCACCGCCGCTGCTCGCTCCCCCTGGGGAGGAACGTGTCCACCGTGTCGTATGGTATCCATAGATAATTGAACGCCGAACGCAGTCTTCCTACCAGGTCACTCTCTGTGAAGTCGGCGTCCTCGTCCACCACCGTCACTAGTGTAGGCTCGAGACCCCGTAGAGCCTCGAGGAACATCTTCCGGACGGATAGTGTTGGTGAGTTGACGCTCATCGTGGTGGCGATTGCTCCGACCGTCTCCTCCGGAATGTAATGCAGCAGCATCTGGCAGTTCACTATCACGGCCTCGTCTTCGGAGACTAATCGTTCGACTCTCAACTGCTCGATCAACGAATCAAACGCATCGCTGGGATCGGAAGGGATCACCCTGAACTCCATAGCTACGTTCCTGGAACGCGCGAAATTGACCAGCCGCGATCCAAGTTCGTCGTACGACATGTCCAGCATCGGCGGTGGTGGCGCAGTTGTCGTCAGGCTCGGCACGGTGAGCCTTATGAGCGGCGGACCTTCGGGACGATTGGCCAGCAGGTCGATCAGGGTTGGCATCTGCATGCAGTGCGTGGTGGTGAGATCAACGATGTGGATCGCAGGTACCCCCTCGACAGCCTCCGCGATGGTAGCGTTTGCCGCGGTGTAGCCGAAGCGGTGCCAGGGAGTGAGATCGATAAAGCTCGCGAGGTCGATGGCAGAGAAACGGTGGACGTGGAGGGCGAGATCGGCGTCAGCACGGGCTGCGACAGCCGTGAGCATCTTGCAGGAGCCGGTCTTGGAGGCCCGGGCGATGAGGGCCCGGAGGAAGGCGGACGTCAGACGCTGGTTGGAGTCGCCGTCGGGGGGTGCGATGTTGTTGAGAACCCACAGGATCTGCTGGGCAAGGGTGGCGTCGTTGCTTTCGACGGCGTTGGCGCAGTTGACGAGCAGCTGCTCCATGTAGTTCACGGAGTTCAAGCTGCCGAGGGACTTGGAGGAGGAGACAGGGAGGCCGGGCCACGGCCGGGAACGGGACAAGGAGGGCTTCGATGCGTCCATGCCCAGGCACAGGCCTACCCCATTGGGGTGCAGAGGAGGAGGCGCCGGTGCACTTCTAGTGAATTGCGTCATATGTCAAGAGACAGAGACAAAGATCTAGAGAGGGTAAGCATGAGAACGAAGAAGCAGAGAGTGCAGAAGGCGCAGCAGAGGAGTTGAATTTGGTGCTTGCACAAGGAATATACAGAAGGTTGTGTACTTTGGGATCTCATGGCAAGAAGGTAGCAACTAGATCTGAAGATTCCAAGGAATGACCGACCCAGAAACACGAAACAGTAGGCGAAGAGAGAGAAGAAAGAGTCAGAAACCTGCAAGCTGACTCTTTTTCATGCTCGAGTGCAGCGCCTGAAAGAGATGAAGGTTAGAGACGGTGAGCTCATATAAGGCGGCTTTGGTGGCATGTGAAAAGGCCGGCTATGGATTGGCTGTACATGAGATGTGTAATTTGTCCTCTTGTCGGGGTGACGAAAGAGATGAGAGAGAGAGAGAGAGAAGTATTCTGTGCTATGTTATGTTGATGAGAGATGGTGCAAGTAGGGTGAGCTTAGGAACCAATCTCTCCTTGTTGGCGCCGACAAGAACTCTTTGTAGGATCCATGCATCTTGCCAAGTTTGTCCGCCACTTTATCCGCCTCTCCAAATAAAAGAATGACTCGATTCCACACCTTTGTGTTTGTCCAAATGCATCTCCTTGATACCCCACATCATTTTGCACAAACTTAGATGTGCTCATCAACCACATCATTTTGCCCACATCATTCATGCCAAGATTCAAAAGTGCTCACCGGTAGAAAGAGACCATATTCCTCCACACATGAGGTGATAAATTTGATCTTTCTGTTGCAGCAGCAGAGGACACTCCAGTTCTTGGTGTACTCTTTCATGGTGGTCCATGGAGTCCACCATACTTGTCTTATATAAATGCTGTTCTTGTCCTGTTGTCATCCATGATCCATCATTCTTTTTCTCCGCATTATCTGACCATTTGAAGGCTTTGGTTTTGGCTGTCATTTATGATCATGTTTATTCTGATGAATATGAAAAGTACATAGAGATTTTACGATCTACCATGAGTTGTTTTGATTCCTAGTGGCAGAACTGATCCATTTCTTCTGCAACTTATCATCTTGTTTCATTTGGTGCCATGGAATGGGCCAAAATAGAGAGATTTCTCTATTAGATCTGATCTTGCATGGAAAGCTGACCACTTCATTATTTATATCTCTATGTTGCATGGAAAGATCTGCAGGATATCCATGGCACAGACAACGAAAACAGAGCAGGAGAACAATGTAGGTTAAACGTGAGAGGTTTGATAATAAATCCCCTTGTGACAGTACTGCATGCGTGGATTAATCTTAAATCGAGGGAGAATTCTCTTGCTTTCCTGCATGCTTTGTTGACTTCCAAGAGGACATCAGATAAGCCAAGGGTTCAGACATGAAAGTAAGGAATGCGAACATGTGCTCAAGGTGTCATCGTTAGCTCTCCGTGGGGTGCTTGCAGACGAGACTGGTTTGGCAGCACACAAGCTTAGGGTACACTGATGTGAGGGCAAACATGCCCATGACATGAGGAGGCCAAAGAGATGAAGACAGTCTTCTGGGATGTCGAGCTGTGCAAAAAGGGCAGGTCCTACTCTGAAAGATGCTACTCGAGTTATGCATGTTACTCTAGAATGGCTGCCCAATCATTGCAGAAGAACAGTTCATGCATGTGAGAAGGAGCGGAACAACAGTGAGGGATTCAACAGGAGAAAACAAAACGCATGAATCTTTTATCACCTTTGTGACATAGAAAATCAATGTGAATAGTTGTCAATGTATCTGCTCGGTTTCATCTTGGTTTTTCTTGGGAGTTGTGGGAACATTGGCTAATGCTCAGTGGTAGGAGACAGAAGAGGATTCATCTGGTAGTTTGAGTCCTGTAAGAAAGAAGATTGAACTTGGAGAGGGGACTGATGGCACTGAAGCAGTAAAGATATCAGAGGCTCAAGTTTTCTGATGGGGAACAGCTTCACTCCATGTATCAATTGTCATTACCAGGAACAGTTGGTGGATATCTGGCAAATCTTCTTCCAGATGTTAACAAGTTTGAGGATTGAAGCTTCAAATGGTCATCTGCAAGTGTTGGATTAGTCAGCCCAGCTGAGCTTGTACTACTCTCCATTGGGCCATCCAAAAACCTCTGCCTGTATCAAAGAATTTGATGGAGTGATTGAGAAAATAGACTAAAATTCCACTTGGAATTTCTTAATCTGAATAGAACAATCTGGCATGGCCAGAGGATTATTTTCAGTTAAGGAGAAATTATCACTGATTAGGATATTGTAACAAATCATCATTGGAATCCATAACTTCCAACCAATAGAGACAGCTTACTAGTAGGAAATCTTTTAGCCTACTCCATTTCATGCCAATGGAAGAGCATCCTTCACTGTTCTTGCGATTCCTTAAGTAGTTAAGTGCCCATAAAGATACTTTGCGAGAAGGATGCTATCTGTCCCAAAAAGATCATCAATGGCCTTTGACATGATGGGTGGTGAGCCTTCACATCTAGAAACCTGCTTCTTCTTCTTCTTCTTCTTTCTGAGAAGAAAGAAGAAGAACATGCATTGCTCAAGAACTGAAACATGATTATGTTTGATCAAAGATGTTGCTTTTCTAGTCCTCTCACTTCATAAACTTTTGAAAAGCAACTGTTATTAATAATTTATTGGAGAGATACATATATCTGTGAGAGTTATCTGTCACCTACATATCTGATAAGTAGATTTTGCTGCAATATGTCAGGTATAAGAAGCAATGGAATTTTCTTCTTTTTTCCTGTAGATTTTTTGTACATGGTTCTTGAGTGAAAGTTACAGAAACATATTTACAGGTAAATCTAATGGCAAAAGACAGTTTGACTACTTGTAGTAGTCTTCATTCTCTGGAGTAAAAATGAAGAAACAGCCACAGAGTAGTGCAATGGAAATGCAGGGGACTAGATGACTCTGGTGTTTGACAGGGAGCACTCACATGATCCAGCAATGCAAATACTCAGAAACTGGGAGCACTGGGATCATGACAATAAAAGCTCATAAAAAGAAATAAGAATCTAAATCTCTATATTTCTTGAAAAAGATAGGACCTCAGTAAAATAGGGTCAGCACACTGCATGTCATCATGGCTTCAGCCAACTGAGCTGCCATACAAAGTACAAAAGCTCCACTTGGTGGGCTTGGTGCCACTGTTTGATGAACTGTGACCAACTGTAAAAAGACAGGTGGTGGGACTCGGAATGCAGCATACAGTAGTGCTGTGAACAAAACCTCACTGAAAGCAAAAGAGGAGAGGGGAGGAAGGAGAAAGATGCTTGACACCAACTCAGAAAGCTTAAGCTGCAAATTACAATGACTTTGGGCTAGAAAGCTAGTTGGTGGTGGTACAGGTTTTATTTCTCCAGCCACACTGTTTGAGGGCTTAGCATCTCTAAGGCCATAGCTGTGATGTATGCATGGTTTGAAGTGGCTTTCTTGGCTTGCATGCTCTTCATCAAGGTAAGCAACTGCACCTGTGGCCTTATATCTTGGTTCTGAATTCATTCTTCTTCTTAGATTTGTCACGATGGGTTCCTTTTTCTTCATGAATTTATGTAATTCTTGATCTTGTCTCTTAAATGCAAATTGATTAATGACATAAAACATGAGGAAAAAGCTAAATTCTCCAATATTAGTGAAGCTGTCACAACAGCTCTCAAGTATCAGAGTTTACTCTGCAAAATGTTCAGTAATATAATTCAAGTGCAGGAAAAGTTGCAGATATTTATCCCTTTGAATTAGTGGTTTTTGCATTTATTCTTCTAGATAAAAGTTTTACATGTATAATTTCTAGAAACTCAAAATCTGTATGAAAATATCTTTTTGATTAATGCTTGTTACTTTGAACCTTAGAAACTTCAATTAATATCATCATTACTCATTAGTTATGTGAGAAAGAAGAGGGGACTTCCCTTATCAAAGTGAGAACAATCATGGCTTGCAGGCCATCAGAATTTGATGTCTTTCAAGCTTGTTTTGGCACATCTTGATGTGATCTTTTAACCCTCATCTTCTGCTATAAAAGAAAGTTAGGTTTCTGATTTGACTTTCCATGAGTTTTTTTCCAATCATGGCACAGTATAGACACCTACATTTGCAGAATGTCAACAGGATTTGGTTGCTTCTTTTCTAAGTCAACCATCTATAACCTAATACCACTGCATATAGTTTGGCCCAAATGCACTGCATATAGTTTGACTGATCAACTGAAACCTTCTCATAAATCTTATTCCTTTGTTGGAAGATATGTAGATGTGTTCTCAGTTCATTACCTTTTTGCATCACCAAATGTTCTTAGCTGTGGAAGATACTGATTCATTGCATCAAATATTTTGGTTCAGTGAGTCCAAATGTACCCATAAAATAAACTATTAAAATGAGGTGCCCTCTTTGTTCTTCCAACAGAAGTATGAAACAAGTCAAAGGGAAATACTAACTACAAACATTTAATGGGGCTCTCTCCTGACCTCTCTTTCCCATCACAAATTGTTTAGCTTGCAGATGCAGTCTCCAATCACATGATGATTTTGACTCTAGCAAATAAAAATTCCTCTCTCTCTCTCTC